CCTCGTGTTTTATTTATCTCCTTTTCTGTGTAGTCTATCTCCCACAACTTGAGTGCCATCTCTGACAGGGCGGGGGGTTTTGCCTGCTTTCTTGGCTTCTGTTCCCTGGCACATAGTAGGTGCTCAGTAAACATTTATGGAATGAAGAAACATTTCTCTCACTCAGACTGAGACTTCATGAGGGCAGGGACATTGTCTAAGGTGTTCACTGCTGAATCCCTGGAGCCCACTCTGGTACCTGGCATGTGCAGGGGCTCTATGCAAACAGGCTGAATGAGAATGAGATTGTTGAGAGCCCTCCTCTCCCCAGAATCTCTGCACCCAATGCGTCTACACCTTCAGACCTGACAGGAATCTCTAATTACCCAGCCCTGGGAGAGCACACACAGAACCCATCTTTCTGAGATTGGGTTCCAAATCCTTGCAGGGAAGAATGCTTCTGACTCCAGGGGATGGTACCTTAAGGCGTGGGGATTCCTGCCTCATCAGTCCTGGTCCTTTCACAGACATTCGATAAGTATAAAGGACCCCTTGTGTTTAGGTAAGGGCTGCATTCACCAAGGCCCATGGGCTCCCAGACAGAGAGCCCACTGAGGGCAGGGACTGGGGCTCACCCAGCTCTGTTTCCCCAGTGCCCCGTGCAGGGCCAGCAAATGTTGGCTTCGTGAATAAAGGGATGATCCTTTATCACTCCTCTGCTCCAAAATCTCCTGACCTCCGCCTCAGCCAAAGCCCTGCTCCATGATGACTAGGCTTCTTGCCTGGGCAACACCCGTGCCGCACCCTCCTTGTTTACCACGACTCTCTCCCTCAGAAAGACTCGGCCATGTTCACCACAGCCATCTGCCTAAGTGGCAAACATCTTTATTTTTAGTCAGCCTGTTTAGGAGAGGTTTCTCTTGTATTTACAGTTTTGGGGGTTTAGGCAGGAGCTCTTAATACTTACAAAGCACACCCTAGAGTTTAGTAGGATTTCCAGACTTCTTAAATAGCCCTCATCTCTGTTCCCACCATTCCCACCCCCTTATGGTTTTGGCTTCTCTCTGGCCTCTTGGACTTTAAGTCCCCCTCCCCCAACCCCACCCCACAGTCCTCCTGGACACAGACCCAGAAGGCTCTTTCTGACACCCGGGGTGAGGCCTGTGTGCTCTAAAACCTTCCTGGTGCCCCATCACCCCAGCGGGAAATCTGCCTTGTGCAACGGCATTCTGACCCCCTTGGGGGTGGGGGTGGGGGGACGCTGCCAGCTCCTACCCAGGGGTCCTGCACCAGAAACAGCCATTCCGCCCGGTTCACGGTGTGTCCTTCCCTGCAGGCCTTTCCACCTGCTGTTCTCTGGGCCGCAGGTGCACTCGTCCTCCTCCACCCTTTTCCCCGTGCTCATTCTTACTCATCTTCTGGGGCCTGGTTTAAACACCACCTCCTTCAGAAAGCGTTCTGTGACGCCCCACGCTAAGTTGGTCGCCCCACCTCTGGGCTCCCCCGTGCCCTTACTAACCCCCGCCGTGACACGTATCCCTTTGGGTCTTGATTTGCCAGTGTCGGTCCGTGCCGCCTCCCCCACTGAGGGCAGGGACTGGGGCTCACCCAGCTCTGTTTCCTCAGTGCCCCGTGCAGGGCCTGGCTCCTGGGAGGTGCCAGCAAATGTTGGCTTCGTGAATAAAGGGATGATCCTTTATCACTCCTCTGCTCCAAAATCTCCGTGGCTTCCACCTCAAAATCACAGCTGCGCCCATGCAGTCTGGCCCCTCTTACCTCTCTCCTCCAGTTACCTGCTCCACCACTCGCCTGCCTCCCTGGGCGTGTGCACACGCTGTTCCCTGGCCAGCATCGCCCTTCCCACAAATGTGCAGAGCCCACTGCCTCACCTTGTGTGGGTCTCTGCTCAGATGTCATCTTTTCCTCGAGGTCTGCCGTATCCACCCTACTTAAATGTGTGGCATGCTTCCCATCCTCCGATTAGTCAATTTATCACCATCTGACACACTAGATATTCTTCTTATTTTCCTCCATTTTTGGCCTCTCCCATGAGGGCAGGTTTCTGTTTTGTTCATTGCTGTCACAAATTGAGTGCTCAATAAATATTTGCAGAATGAATGAACGAATGAATGAATGAATGTACACATGGATCTTGAGGTCATGGAAGGTTTCCAGTGTTCATAGGGGACCTTCAGGTTTCTGCCAGACTGTGTCTCTCGCCCTTGGAGGCTGGCTCAGGCCAGGGGGACCGGTGGGGAGGTGGGAGGAGAGAGCAAAGCTCCCCAGCCAGGAAGCGGAAAGAAAGACTTTGCTCTTCCGTCAATGGCCACCCAATGCAAGGTGTGGTCACAGTGACCCCCTTGTGGTTGGAGCTGAGAACAGCATTTTCCCCAGCTCCCACTCGAGGCCCTCTTGTCACATTTGCCACAGAACTCTGGATGAATCTGAGTAGAGACGGGTTGTAAGTGTAACACGCACACCGGATTTTGAAAACTTAGTACCAAAAAAAGGTAAAATATCCTCAAGGTTTTAATTAATTTATTTATTTTTGGCTGTGTTGGGTCTTCGTTGCTGGGCGCGGGCTTTCTCTGGTCTACTCTTCGTTGTGGTGCGCGGGCTTCTCATTTCTGTGGCTTCTCTTGTTGCGGAGCACCGGTTCTAGGCGCGTGGGCTTCAGTAGCTGTAGTTCGGAGGCTCTAGAGCGCAGGCTCAGTAGTTGTGGCGCAGGCTCCGCGGCATGTGGGATCTTCCCAGACCAGGGATAAAACCGTGTCCCCTGCATTGGCAGGCGGATTCTTAACCACTGAGCCACCAGGAAGTCCCATCCTCAAGGTTTTAAAATATTGATTACATGTTAAAATAGTAATATTTTGGATCTAGGGGGTCAAATAAAATACATTATTAAATTTTCCCCTCCCCCCCAAATTACACATATGGATCGCATTATATTCCTATTGGATAGTGCTACTCTAAACCACAACAAAAATCTAACCAACCACCCACCTCCTGGTGTGAAGGTGTGAAGGTGTGACGGGAGAAACTCGGTTACAGAAAAGTCCCTTGCCCAAGACCACAGGGTGAATCAGTGGCCGACCTGCAACAAGGGCCCAGGTCCTCTTGCTTCCAGCAGGCGGCATAGCAAAAAGGTTCAAGAGTCCTAGCTCCTTCACTGACTCGCTGCTGTGTGACCTTGGGAAAGTCACTTCACCTCTCTGAGTCAAAAATTTACCCTTTGTAAAATTGGGGATCAGAACGCAAGGAAGGAGAGTTCCGCAGTGCCCGGTGCGCTAGAATCATTCCAATTGACCGTGATCATCTTGCGCCCCCTAGAGCCCGTTCTCTCCACCGCTGCTGCAGGGATTTTTAGAAAACGGAGATGGGCTCCTGCCTCTGCGAGATGTTGCAGGACCAGCCCCGGCTACCACCTGATCTCAACTCTGGCTTTTCTTCTCCCTGCCCACTCTGCCCTGACCACACTTCCTTGCTGTTCCCTGGACTTACCAACTTTATTCCCACCTCTGTGCTTTTGCATCAGCAGTTCCCTCTGCCTGGAAAGCTCTCCCCCAAGATGGCTTTATAATTCACTCCTTTGCTTTATTCGGGTCTCGGCTCAAATGCCACCTCCTCAAAGAGGCCTTGCCCTGACCCCTATGGACACTGGCTCTTGCTATCTCCCTCTCTCTTTATCCTGCTTATTTTTATTTGTTGCATTAATCACTATCTGACATTTCATTTTTATTGACTTATTGTCTGTTTCTCCCAGATTGTGAACTTCATGGGGGCAGGGGCTTTTGTCTTTTGCTCACTGTAGTATTCCTAGCACTTGGCACATGGGCCACAGATGAGGTGCTCAATAAACGTTTGTCGAATGAATAATTATCCTGATGCTCAATTAACTCACGGAGGAGGTGGGGCCTCTGGTCCCTGCTTTCCAGCCCAATCTAATTAGGAAAAGCGAGCCCCAAAGAGTGTGGATGGCTGGAGGACAGGACCCAGGGGCTGGGGTTTGGGAGAGTCCTAATGTCCTGGGCTGGGCAAGGTGGGAGGAGAGAATCAGGGATGCTTCCAGGAGGCCCCTGGAGGATGTGAGCCAGAAGATGGGAAAGGAGGGCACTCCTGATAAGGAACCAGCCCAGCACAGCTTGGAGGTGGGACTGAGGACACCAAATCTCCCCAGGGGTCAGGCAGGAAGTTTCTGAGCCTCACACCTGTCTGGACCGGCAGGGAGGCAACCCTGCAACCCAGAGCCCCCCGGGGGGCCAAACTTTAATGTGAACAACGAAGTTAGACACCATTATTGAGTGCTTTATCAAATATTCACAACACTGCTTTGCTAGGAGGCTTTGATTCCATTCTCAGAGGAGGAAATGGAAGACCAGAGAGGTTAAGTCACTGACCCAGGTTCACCCAGCTCTGCCTCCAGAAATCTGAGGTCTGGGGAGCTCACCCAGCGGCTCCCCACCCATCACACAGAGATTCAGGTGGTGGTGGGTGGGGAGAGGGGGGTAAGGGCTAAATACACCGTCTTGAGGAGCCCCGGGCAGACCTGGGGGTGAGCCCCGAGTTGGGGCTCCAGCGAGGTGATCTCAGGGCAGTTATGGGGCTCAGGCTACAGCCAATGAGATCGTGGTGAGGATGAAATGAGATGATCCAGCGCCTGCCCTGTACACAGCGCTCACACAGAAGCATCACGATTGCTGTAACTGACGTGCCCATCAAGTTACATGGTTTCGCGTATCCCACTACAGGCAAACATGAAACATCAGAGGCACACAGTAGGCGCTCAAGAAGGGTTAGGACTATCTGAGCACGCCCAGAACCCCACAGAGGTACAGGCAAGAGGCCCCCTAGTTCCCAGTCGCTCAGGAATGGAAAGTTGTTTAGTTCTCTCCTCTCTGAGGCCCAGGGGTCCCCCAGACACCCAGGAGTCCTCCGCAGCCCCAGGAGCCCAGAGCCCCAGCTTCTGCAGGACCACAGGTAAGGGGTTCGACCCCTTCCCAACCTCACACCGAAGCCCGGGCTAAGGTAACTCGGGTTCCTTCACAGTGTCGTTTACAGGCGGCCCCGCACTGCCACGTCGTCGGATCCCAGCGGCGAACTGCAGTCTCTAGAAGCCGGGGATGGGCTCCGAAGTCGGGGGTCCGGACGGCTGTGGCGCCCCGGCGGCCCCTCCTCGCCCAGCCCCCGGCGGCCCTTGCCGATGGCCAGGCGGGGCCGGCCGCGGTTCAGGCCTTCCAGGAGGGCGCAGGCCTGGCAGAGCGCGCGGCTGGCCAGCGCCCCGCAGCGGGAGCAGGCGCCGGGGGGCGGGGGCCGCGCGGCCGGGGCCAGCGCCAGGCGCTCGGCCGAGTGCACGAGGTCCAGCACGGCCGACGGCCGCGCCGCCTCCAGCAGCTTGAGCAGGTCGCGCGCGCGGCCGCGGAAGGCCTCGGGCGCGTACACGCACTCCTCGCAGAAGTAGTCCAGGCGGCGGAAGCGCGCGTACAGCACCACCTCCTTCTGCGAGGCGAGCTGCAGCGGGCGGCAGCGCGGCAGCGCGCGCCCCTCCCCCGGAGAGCCCAGGGCCCCGCCCCGCGCCAGCCGGCCCGCGTCGCCCCGCAGGAAGTTCATGAGCACCGTCTCCGCCATGTCGTCGGCGTTGTGTCCTGGGGGAGAGACGCGAGCCGGTGAGGAGGCGGCGCGGGCGCCGGCGGGGCCGCGGGAGGAGACCCCGCGGTACCGTGGGCGGCCGGGGGGAGGCTGCGGGTGGGCCCCGCGAGAAAGGAGAGGGGAACACACCAGGCTCCCGTGGGGCAACTGGGGATGCCCTCATTTGCCCCCCTCTCATTGCAAACCAGGCTCTGCGCCCGGTGCCCTTTCAGGTAGTGAGTAAAACTGCTTTGCGCTGCAGATATAATCGCAGTCTTAGTGAAGAGTAGCCCAGACCGCACAGACGTCAAAATGGCATTTGATGGAGATGCTCAAGTGGGCTGTTGACGCAAGTGCCTCTGGGAATGCAGATTATGGTATTTAGAAGGACCAGGGAGAAAGTAAGTGCATAGTTACACAACAGTCACCATAAATTTGAAGCTGAATCTCTACTTATTCTGCAACTTGTCATCTTATACTTGAGTCTATAGTAAAACACCGGTCTTACGGCTTCTCAGGTCGGCCATACTTTCCCCCCTCAGGGCCTTTGCATAAGCAGTTTCCTCTGCTCAGAACCTCTCCCACCCCCGTTTTGTCCTTCACCTCGTTACCCACTCGGCTTCAGGTCTCCGCTCACTCAGGAAACGCTTCCTTAATCCCCACGTTTCTCCCTTCACTAGGTCCTCCTGTGTCATTTTCCTTAGTGGCACAGGGAATAATTATAATCAGGTTATAATTACATATGTGAGAAACGGACAGGAGCAGAGACTGTCTTGTGCATCATCATAACGGCAAACGTTTATATGTTTACCGTTTCTCAGTGTCTTGTCTAAGTGCTTCATACGTAATTCCCATAATTCATCCAATTCCCAGTAACTCTAGGTCCTAGATAGTATTAATATCCCCATTATATAAAAGAGGAAACCAAGGTTAGGTAGTTTGTTCTAGGCCATATAGCTTGCATCTGGCACACAATAAACGGTCAACAATTATTTGTTTGGTACAAATAATTGGTATTTGGTAATTACCAATTTGGTACAAATTATTTGTTTGGTACAGAGAAAGTGTTATCAAAGAGGAGAAGCGAATAGAGAAAAGGACACAGTTGCGTTCAGACTACAGATGCTTCTGCTGGGAGATGCCCCTTCATACCCCTCCTTTTGTGACAAGGGACACAATGTCATAAAAAAAAAGTGCAGAGAACCACAGCCCTAGCCCCTAGAGAGTACCCTGTCACCCCTCTATTTGCCACCGTGTGTGTACAAAGACGATGGCAGTGACTCAAAAGCTTACCATGCCCAACCTTAGGACACGCACATACTGCGAACCTTCAGTGTGCATGCACAGCCCCTCCTCCTTTTTTAGCGTCTCCAATTAGGATATACGCAGTCTCCTTTACACCTCTGGGGCATGCGCCTCAGTGGGCTTACAGTGTCCGCCCCTCGCCCGCGCATGCGCCCATTCCTCCCACCGCGCCCCTCTGTGCCGCGCCTGCGCTCACCCGTCACGACGTGCGTGGCTCCCACGCGGCGCGCCCCTTCCTCTAGCGCCCGGCGTCGCAGCACCCCGCAGAAGGTGCAACAGGAGCGGCTGCGGCCGGAGCCGGCCGTGCTGCGGGCCACAGCGTCCATCGTCCAGCCCCCGAAGAGCTCTGCGTAGGCCACGACGGTGAGCGGGAGCTCCCAGCGTGCTGCTTGCCGCCGCACGGCCGCCAGCGCCGCGTCCCGGTAGCCGCCGATGCCCTCGTCCACGGCCACGAGGTGCAGCGAGATGCCCAGGCGCGGGGCCAGCTCGCGCAGCACGTGCGCCAGCACAGTGGAGTCCTTGCCGCCCGAGGCGCCCACGGCCACCACGGCGCCGGGCGGCAGCAGGCGGCCCGCGACCACCGTGTGCAGCACCTCGGCCTCGAAGGCGGTGCAGAAGCAGGTGGTGCACAGCGCCTGGCCCGAGCGCGGACGGCGGAGGGCGGCTCGCGCCTTGTGGCAGGAGGCGCACTGCGGGGCGGGCATCGCGGTGACCGGGCGAGGCGGGAGGGTCGGCTTCTCCTGGATGGGTGGAGAGGGGAGGCGGGTTACACGTGGATTCCGGATTGCAGGATTCCTTGCCTACAGAGAGGCTGCTTGCGTGGTGTCTCTGCCAGGAATAATGCAGGCCGAGTAGGCCTTTTCCAGAGTAAGGGAGGGTTATACGTATACAGTTGACCCTTGAACAACATGGGGGCCAGGGACGCAGCCAAAAGCCGCATAACTTTACAGTCGGCCTTCCTGGTTCCGCATCCGCAGATTCAACCAAACCGCGGATGGTGTAGTACTGTATGTATTTATTGGAAAAAAAAAAAAATCAGAGTATTAGGGGACCAGCGCAATTCAAACCCATGTTGTTCAAGGGTCAACTGTATTCTAGTTTAAGGAAGCTAGTGCCTCCAGAAAGCCTTCTTGGATTACACCCATTACACACCAAGAAGAGAAGGAGCTGGTTTGGAGAGGTGGAGGGGAGAGGGAGAGACAGGCAAGTTACACCCAGAATTAGGTCGGATTCTGTTTGGAGGGATGGAGGTGCCTATTAAGGACCAGTTTCACAGTCTCCAGGGAGGCCAGCCCTTTTACAACCCTGGTCAGAAGGACAGGGTGCTTATCACTGATCTGGGCTCCCAGGGCTGTTCAGAGAGCTTGGGAGGGGTCAGTGATCTAAGAACAGAGGGAGTCCAGGGAACTGCAGCTCTGTTAGGGGAAGGGGGATGAAACAGAAAAGACCAACTGGATTTCACTTTGGTGGGGGTGGGATACTGTCGCTAGGCATTGGTCCCGATTGTATCCTCTGAAAGGCAGGGCAGTCATCTCCTCCAGGGAGGCACAGAGGCAGCATGGGTCGTACCTCCAAGGAGATCAACTGTGGCTTCTTCTGTTTTGGGGGCAGGGGGAGGGCGGGGTGTGGGCCTCCAGGATTGCTGTGGTCTCAGAATCTCCCGAAAGCTTCTGTGGCCTTATCAAGACTTGGATCAGCCCAGTTTCAACTCATTTCTGTTCCCCCCACCTCATCCGTCCCCACCCAGCCAAAAATTCCAACCCTCTCTCCTTGGACGCACCTGCTTGGGGAGCCCATAAAACCCCACCGGACTGAGTCCCTCCTCCCCAAGCCACCATCATCTGCAGGCTGAACCAGAGCAGTAGCCCCTGAGCAGGTCACCCTGTGTCCAGGATTTACCACCATGTGTGGAATCATTTTATGTGCCTTGTATGCTTACTGCCTGTCACACCAATTAAGGACCAGTGCAACCCAGACGTCTGACAGGCATCTCAAAACCTAGACTCCTGATTCCCCTTCCCAAGCCTGCTTCTCTTGCGGTAAAGGGCAGCTCCATCCCTCCAGCTACTCAGGGCAGGAGCCTTGTGGTCCAGGACCCACGACTTCTCTTTCTTCTCACTCTCCCTGTGGGTGACTCCCAACTGCGATGTCAAGGCCCAGCCTTTCCTCCAAATGCGCCACTGAAGATGCACCTGGGGCATCCTCAGACCTCAAACCCCATATGCCCAACCAGAATGGAGCAAATCCTGTTTGTAGCTTCAAAACAGATCCAGAAGCCCAACACTCCTTAGCATCTCCACAACTGCGACCCTAGTCTGAGCTGAGCCATGTCTCTCTGACTGCAGGAGGCTCCTCCTTGGTCTCCCTGCCCCACCCTCCCCTCTACACACACAACTCTCCACAAAACAGCCAGTGGGATCCTGCCCAGTATCTTCTCTACATTCTCCCACGCATCTCATCTCACTTTCGTAAAAGCTTATGGCTGATGAGGCTCCCTTTTTCTCTGACCTCACATTCCACTGTCCTTGAGCCACTCCGGCCTCTACTCTCCAACACCCCAGGAAACACCTACCCAGGAAAGTGTTAGCACTGCTCTTCCCTCTGCCCAGAGTACTCTTCCTTGTCACTGGGCCCAGCAAGCAGCCCTCAGGACCCATTGGCCATGACCACTCGGCACATCCGTCACAGCTGAGCAACGCCCCCTTGAAATCTCCCCCCCCACACACACACCCCATCCCATCCCCGGCTTTGACTTGATTCTCCCTCGCTCTCCTGGTCTGCTTCCTGCTCAGCCTCCAGTCTCGTTTGGAGAGCCCTCTATGGTTCTCAGGTCCTTCCCAGCTCATTTTCCTTGTGGGTGACTCTGAATAATGACGTCCATCAGGCTGGTCCTCCAGATGCCCCACTGAGGATCCCCGTTGGTCCTCTGGGATCCTAGGCGCCCAAACTGACCAGCAACCCTGCTCGCCACAGGGAGAAACCTTTTCTTGCCCAGCTGTTCCCTGTCTCCTGAGAGGACTGCCACTTCCAGCTCCTCCCCAGGACAAGACATAAAGTCACCCTGGACTCATCTCTCTTCTCCCCCTAAATCTATGGTCACTCGGTCCTAGGGGTCTACCCCCTGCCAGGCGATGAGTCTGTGCAGATTGTCAGAGGCTCAGAAGTCATGATACAGTTTTAATTTTATTCAGAGAGAGATGGGAGCCAAGGGAGGGTTTTGCGCAAAGAAGGGATACGATCTGATTTGGGTTTTAAAAGTTTCCCTTTGGCTGCTGTGTGGGGGACAGGCCGTGGCAGGCAGGATCAGAGGCAGCGAGGCCAGGGAAGAGGCTATGGCAATAGTCAGTGAGATGATGGTGGCCTGGACTGGGGTGCTGGCAGTGGAGATGACAAGAAAAGGTGAGATTTTGTATCTATTTTGAAGGTAGGGTCCTTGCACAGGACTTGGATTGGGGTGGAGGGTGCGGTCATGAGGAAAGAGGAAAGAAGGATGACTTGGAGGTTTGGGCCTGAGCACCTGGGAGGATGATGGGACCATTTAGTCAGAGGGGAAGCTGACCAGAATTCCACTTGAACAGGTCAGATTTGAAGTGTCTGTTATGCATCTTCCCCTCGAAGACTTTATAGACCCTAGGCTGGGTCAGGCGCCTCCTCTGGGCTCGCAGAGCCCCACGTATGCCCCCATCCCAACCGGATCATGACGGTATCCTTCATGGTGACAGGCCTGTCTCCCCCGTTGTACTGTGAGCTCACTAAAGGCAGGGACAGGGTCTGCTTCGGCCACCACTGACTTCCCCTGCCTCGCACGGGATTTGGCACAGGGTCGGTGCTCAGGAAAGATCTGTAGGCTGAGGGAATAATAAATGCGCCCGGAAGAGGAGACCCAGACCCCCAGGGATGCCTCCGAATCGCAGCCTTGTCGGAAGGACGGATAGTGTGTAACATCGTTCTATCAAGACAGAGGTTCCATGACAGAGTAAGGACCTCCCGGACGTACCCAGTTGGAGGCGGGGGCAGGGAAATGGTCGAATTCCAACCTGGGGGAGGGGATGGGCGAGCAAGAGACAGGCCGGACCGCAGTGCCCAAAGCGGGGATCCCGGTCAGAAGGCCTCTGGGATACAAGCGTTGGGAAATCAAAGGCGTCATCACCCCCAGAGAGACCCTCAACCCTCACACGGCACCGCAACAAAGAGCGGGCGCTCACGAGCCGACCAGCTGGTGAGGAAATACCTGAGTAGAACGCGGTGCCGGATGGTCCAATCTGCCGAACACGCGGAACTCCGGCGCGGAAGTGGCTCCAGAGACTACGACTACCACAAGGCCTTGAGGGCTGTCTTGCCTACGGCTCCCAGAACCCCATGCAACAGCTCCACCGGAAGCCCCTGTGGTTACTGGGCCCTCGGCCCTCAACTCCCAGCAGTCCCTGCGGCCCCTTGTTTCGCTCTGCCTACCACTCCCAAAATGCACTGCCCTGTTTCTTTCTGCGCCTGCGCACGGGCAAGGGACGTGGGGCGGGTACTGTTTGCTGTGGTAGTAATCTGTTACCATGCTGGACGCTTTAAAGGAGAAATGGCTGTATTCGGATGATCTGCTTTTGTGGGATTACTATAGGCTTTTAGAGGGATTATAAAGCATATTATTTTTACCCTTTGAGGTGGGGTTGCGGGTGGGAATTGAAGGTGGGAGTGCGGGGTTTGGTCGTGGGTGTAGAAGGAGACAGCGCATGCGCAGCGCAGAGAGCCTGAAGGTGGGGGTTCGGAATGGATCTAGGCATTGCCTGCAGGGGTGGTAATGGTGCGTGTGGACGCGTAGGGTGGGGAGAGGGAGCAGTGTGTGCGTAAGCGGAGGTCTCTGACCGTGCGTCAGCCTTAGAGCCTCCGACTTCTGAGACTGAGGGTTCCAAAGACTCAGATCCCTGAAACTCACTAGTCCCTAGGCCCCGTGTCATAGAGACTCAGAGTTCCAGTGACCCAGAGACCCAGACCCCTGAGACTTCAAGCAGCCGAGAGAACCAGGACTCCAGGGACAACTCTCCGCAACCAAAGCCCAGAGACCTGGAGAGTTCACCCCCCAGGCCCTCGAAACTGAAATCTGGGGGCCAAAGAAGACCAAAGATTCAGATCTTTTAGACGCAGAAGACCAGAGATCCTGGGCCTCAGAAACTGAGACCCAGGGTCCCCAAACCAGATCCTCCAAAAACTGGTGCTCAAAGGTCCTCACGATGAAGGGACCAGAGCCTCAGGGATCCCAAGACAGAGGTGCACAGCCCCAGGGTGTGCGGGTCTGTGGTGAGTGATGTCACGAGTGACTTGACAGGCGCTGTGGAGGCCATGTTTTCCTTGATGCCTTAGTGTAAGATGAGATGGCCTCCATGAAGTCACCGTCAAGGGTCATCATGGGCCAGTTCTTGTCATCACTGGCTCGTTGGTTCATCTGTTGAATGGTCATTTCCTGAGGTCTCCTTGTGCCAGGCTGGCCCTGTGCTAGGTTCTGGTGACACAAGCGAAGTCACAGTCCTCTGAGCCCTCTGCCTGGTGGGGGTGAGAGAGACATAGTTAATACAGGTCAGAAAGCTTGACGTCGGTGTTAGGAACTCTGGAAGCTGAGCCTCAATCACTGCTAGCCAGGGCATCACGGGAAAAAATTCAAGCAGAGGTTATTAGACAGTGTGCTTAGCACTTTACATGCACTGTCTCAGTTTGCTCATCTGTAGAATGGGAATGATAATAGCAATACC